AGTCACAAGTATCATAACTAATTTGTGACACAACCATGATCAGGCTGTACAATTATATTTCGTCAATCTTTACATAGGTTTATTCTCCCTCTTCAGACCTCTGTAAGGCAGCAACTGTAACCCAAGATTCTGGGGTCAATCAATGTTACATTGATCACTCCCAAGGTTCTGAGGAAATCAATGCGAGAAGAACACCTGATGTTCCTTTAAAGATCGGCGTTTCCAGTTGCAAGGAAACTTGGACAAGTACAGCTGTGAACAGTCCTGGAGATCAGACTTAAAACCTCACTCGAGTCACCATTGCTTTTTTTGAACAGTCAGAAGCGTACAGTACAAAGTACAGTAGCCCAATAATCTATGTAAAGGTAATCAATCAAGATGTAAAGTGACAGACAGGAGTTCCAGCCTATTACTCTTGTAATCAGTTCTGTGTACAACTAATCGGCCCTGACCTCTGGCGAGATCCCTTCATTGCATGGAGGAGGATTCTGGTCATCAGTTCATGTCTCACCCCCCACATCCTCACCCGTTTCCTCCCATCCATCTCCCAGATGATGTTAGCCTATAAGTGGGGCTGTTAAGCTTCCACTATTAGCAGAAGCACTCAGACTGTTTTCACCACAGATCATTACACTTTACACAGGCCTATTCAACTGGCGGCCAGCGGGCCAGATGCGGCCCAGAACCAACTCCCGAGTGGCCCAGCCTCCCGTAGCCAAATTCCTACACTAGTACAGACCATGAACGCGTTGCATAGAAACCACCGAACCACAACGTAGCACGTTTTTTGAAAGTGCATCTAGTGGTGCTAGTAACGGTGGTCCTATGATAGCAGCAACTCTAAAACATGTCTCTCTCAACTCTGAAGCGTAAACAGAGACAAAACGGTCATTGATCTTGTGGAGCAGATCCAAGTCAAGCTGGACCTTTTCGCGACCGACTTGATACTCGGATACTGCATTTTCCGACGCTCCCCAAACACATCACATCTCCGGCACAAATCACGGATGTGATGACAGATTTCATTGCGAGGTTGAAAGAGAACTTTGCCGGTCGATTGGATGGACTTGCTCTGCCCACAGAGGTGATGATGGGCTTTGCTAGAGACCCCTTCACTGTTGCAATAGAGGGGGACGTATCAACCAGAGCAAAGGAAGTGGTCCCCTGCATCGACAATGGGAAATATACACTGGAACTTATTGACATGCAGCGCACTAACGGGCCAGCAAAGTTTTGGAGTGATGTCAAAAAACAGAAGTTCCCTAACGTTCAGAAAGTAGCGATCTGTGTGCTCAGTATGTTTGGATCAACATACACATGTGAATCAAGCTTTTCACACATGAACTCGATTGAGTTCATGTGTGAAAAGCTTGATTCACATGTGTATGTTGATCCAAACATACTGAGCACACAGATCGCTACTTTCTGAACGTTAGGGAACTTCTGTTTTTNTTCTACAATAAATCACAGCACGTACCCAAGCGTTATATCAAGGTGTCCAATTCTTATCTGTGGAGGGCTGAGAGTCACAGTTCGTCTTCTAGCTGAGTTCACTGTGTCGTCCGTCCTCTTTGTGTGAAGGTCTGCCAATCACTGAAACCACCTGCTGTTGTGCTTTGATTGGAAAGAAAACCCATACTGTCACTCCACTGCTCGGGGTCTGACCCTCCATCTTTTGCTGTTCTAATCACATGCCATACAGTTCAGGCTGAGCTGTTTTAAAAACAATTGTTGTTTCACTAACACATTGAAAACATTCAGTTGTTACTGGGCATCACTACTCCTGTAATATGTGTGCCCACTTCATGAAAGCAGTTTCCAGAAATCTAGTAGCCCTTAGCAATTCCTACTTTCACAAAGCTCACAATGTTGTATTTGTGTAATTTTCTTCTCGATTCATCTTAATTTGTTAGTTCAATTTGTTGTGTACCAAACATAGCTTCAAATGTTTCTCAGCAAGTGTTGGTGGGGGTCTAATTGTGACCACTGTTGGGAGGTGAGCAGTTCAACTTCCTGTAGAAAAGGAGACGAGGTGCTGCTTAAAATACAATTTCAAGCACCCAAACAATTTCACATACAGATCCAAAAGTGAGTGTCTGCTTGATCAAGGTCATTCATAAAGCTAAGCTATTTCCACCAGTCATTTCCTTTTCTCAATACAGAAGAGAAGAAGTTATTTTTGTCCTGTTGTCCTATTACAAGTGATTCACTTTTAGATAAATGCTGAAACACTTTGTAGATAACAGCTATCCTGAAACCCATCATGATACATGTGCGTGTAATATTAATAAAGACCAAGGGAAATGTCCAGCTCATAAATGATTTTCAAAGCTAGTTGTTTAAGAAGTGTGGAACTGCATTGTTTACATGCAAAGATTATCAATGCAAAACTATTGGATGAAAAACACAAGGCTACAACAAGTGATCAAAACTTACAAAGCTACCTTTTAATTTGTGATAAAAGACAGCGCACATTTTCAATATGATTTAAAAATGTTTTTGATAATGCCTTGGAGGAAACATTATCATTGTATATGCATTAAGTCAATGTCATTCAGCCTTACATGTGTGGTCTGCAGAACCAGACTTTAACACCTCAATATCATAATTGTACAAAAGTAAATAAATGTTTGCACATTAAAGAAAAAAGCATGGTAGATCACATTTCATGTTATTCCCCAACAATAGGGGAACCTTTGCATCCGCCAAATGCAAATCATTGCAGGCGTTTAGGCTCAATAAGCAGCCACTGGAGAAATAAAAGGGGGAACGGACACACACTTAACATTGGGGTTTAAACAAGATGATATGATAAGATATGGTAGAACTGTTATTTTGCCAATGCAAAGCTCTTAGTGAATTTACATTTTGTTACAGATTCAAAACTTGGCGGTATGGGAATGGTTTGTGGTGTTTCTGTGTGTTTTAATAAAAAAAGCGGTTGTAAGTTATTTCTCCAGCAGATCAGCTCAGAGGAAATGCCATTGTGTTTCTGTACTCCACACATACTGTATACTGAGAGCTATGTAGGTGGTAGCACACATGTTTCTATGAATGTTATTTATTTTGCCTCATTTTGTCCTTCAGAGGATATTGCAAAGTATAAAGCAAGTCTAGTAGATGTTGGAAGATGCCCTTGTCATTTTAAAAGAACTGTAAAACTACAAAGCTCCCTTTATGTGATGACTTTGTGCTCAGCAGGTATAGTGAATTCATGAAAAACATGGTTTGGTATAGAGCGTTGGAATCGTTTGGTGTGATGGTGATTGGTAGTGCAGATGCTTTCTCATTCAAAATCATTAATCCTGTTGGTGCAGGACAATGAGTCCACTTGTTATCGCTCTTAAACGCAAGTCCTTTCAGAAAGCGACTATTATATGTGCATTTATCATCATTATAAGGGCATGAATAATAAAACACTGTGAAACGGAAAGCACAAGGACCACTTGGGTTATTGTTCTGCCGACAGACAGCTTTCATTCGACTGTTAAGCAGAATTTTTGCTCATCCTCTAAAAGAGCATGTCACTCACTAGCGATACTCGGTCTCAGGAAAGGAATGAGAAGCATGTCGTCTTGTCACCATCTGGCATGCAAACAGTAAAACCTTACTATATATATTCCAGTTCATTTTCAATAGTGTGGTGCAATACTTGAAGCAGGAACAAGATGCATAATGTCAGAAAACAGAAGTGCGAAAAAAAACTTGGAAAAAAATATCACGCAAATAGATGCCAAATTTAAGAAATGAGATACAATACAAACCAAGTTGCTGTGCCCGTACTTCTCTTTGTAAGTCTTATCTTAGTAGTTCATCTAATTCCACAATCGCACAGCACCGTTTCTTTGTGACCCATCTAAAGCAAACCACATTTGGCAACTGATTTTATGGTCCCACCAAATTGCCTCTGCAGTTACACCCATTGTGGAAATGCTGTTCACTGCTGTGCTGGTTCTTTGCTGTGGGATTTTTTTTTTAGCAATTTCAAACAGAATGTTTTATTTAATGCTACATTTACCTTTAGGAGTGATGAAACGGTCTCATGTGTGCTATTCCATGAAAGCACAATGTGAGCAGTGCGACTTTAACAACTGTGATGACTGGTATTTAAGGGTGAAACAAGAAGGGGGCTGCCAGTTTCTCAATAACTAAAAATGTGAAAAAAATGTTCTGTAACAATACTAAAAAGCAGAGGAGTGCTGGATAGGGACCAGCAAGACTCTTAAAACAAAGTTGTGCTTTGGCATAATGGATGGCATCATACTTTTTGGACAGAACTGAAACCCTGTCCTTTAGCTTTGAGCAGATCTGCAGCCAGGAGCGGGGCACCATAAAAGCTGCATCAGCCAATCACTGCAGCAGACTCTCTGGGTTTGCTTCTCTCACTACTATTTCCGCCCCACCTCTTACAGTTCATTTCAGTTTAACCCAGAGGCCACTTGAGGGACCTCACAATGCTTTTCCAACTCATAAGAGTGGACCGAGTGACGTAAAAAAATCTTTTTCCCGTGCGCACCATCAGTGTGGTACCATCATACATCCAAGCTAGTTTTCTTCTCTTTTGTTCATTAAGTGGTGCATTTCCTCTGCATCCCTTCACCCACTTAGTCTCATCTTCTCCGTGTCCCATTATCTTTTACTCTTATCCTATATGAATCCATTTGCGTTCTAATCCCAGCTGCAGCCCCTTTCCTCAGTCCCTGCTCTATTCATGATATTGAGGTTGGAGAAAGATCTAACATGTTGAGACGTCCCTGTTCAAATGGGAGGTTTATTCTTTATTGGATTGTCTCTTTTTCCCTTTTCAGTTGTTTTTAAGCTCATGATGTAAGATAACTATGTGCGGTATGTAGGACATTAGGTTAAACCTTTTCAAAAATACCTGTGGTGAACTGAAAAAGAGACTTGAGGCATAATGACTTTTTAGACAAAGAAGCAAGGTTGCAAATTATGTCGATTGTTCCTGAAGTGGTCCCTCTTCCCTCTGCCCCCCCACAGGGCAGTGATGCCTGGCATGGTGATGTTTCGGCGGCGCTGGTCAGTCGGCAGTGATGACCTGGTGCTGCCCGCCTTCTTCCTCTTTCTATTGCACTGCATCTGGTGAGTCACTGTATTGATTTTGTATATATATATATACATATATATAGTTATGTGCACATGTATTTTGACAAGCAGTGGATTTCTGCACGAGGAAATCTATTTGCTTACCCTTTGATGTCATACTCAGGTTGGTGGTTTTGTCCGTGGTTCTGTTCGGCCTGCCGTACGGCTCAGAGCAGTCGTGTTCTGTGACACTGGTGGACCATGGCCGAGGGTACCTGGGCATCCTGGTCAGCTGCCTTATCTGTGAGAGCGCCATCATGTGGCTGAGTATGAGAGGCAGCATTCTGTACACACAGCCCAGGGAAGCTGTGCAGTACGTCATCTATATACGGCTAGGTAAGACACACTGCTTGTGAAGATTACTAGTGGTTCTAAATTAAGATCTAAACACTGTTTATATTGATTGGGCAGATATTGATCATTATTCCCTCTCCCTCTTTCTCTCCAGCTATTCTCTTGGTGGAGCTCGTATATGCTGTGGTGGGAATTGCTTGGCTTGTCCAGTATTACCAACCTTGCTCTGATGTCACTGCCAAAAACTTGGCTCTGGGTGAGTGCTTGAAGAAATAAATGAGCTTCTTTGTAAAGCAAGTTAAAAGGGGTTTGTTATGCTTGAATGTGAATGATGTTTTGTGTTCTTTTGCAGGAATCGTTGCATGCAACTGGCTCGTGATATTCAGTGTCTGCATTACCCTCATGTGCACCTTTGATCCCACGGGTCGGACTTTTGTCAAACTTAAAGCCACCCGTCGGCGTCAGCGCAACCTAACAACGTACACACTCAGGTATTAACAGGCACTTACTCCTCTGTTTCTCTTTTTGTCTCATATTTTGCCTTTACACAAAACTCAACCAAAGCACAGCATCCACCCAGGCGTGCACATCTTACCTGTTTCTCGCACTAAGTCTTGACAGCTCTCCTTGCCCTTTTCTCTTCATTAGACACAGGCTAGAGGAAGGCCAAGCCAGCAGCTGGAGCAGGAGACTGAAGTTCTTCATGTGCTGCACCAGAGCACAGGATACACAATCAGTGAGTCACAACACTTACCCACTTCCTTTCCGCCGGTAAAGTAAATCAGACGGGAATAAAACCAGAAATATGTCAGGCATAAAGTCCAGTAAGCCAGTCATTAAAATAAGCACTGACAGGATGATTCAACATTGTGGCATAAAGGCGATCATTGCTTAGCTACTCACTGGCAACATTAAGCTTTTCTTATAAAATATGAATGTCAAATATTTAATTTCAGGCTAAATCAATTTACTAGCTGACTAAAACTAAGTAAGTGCGCACAACTGCAGTCATATAAAGCCCACTAACTGCCATCCTCTAGATCACATGTGTCAAACTCAAGGCCCGGGGGCCAAATCGGGCCCTTGGTGGATTTAATTTCGGCCCGCAGGATCATTTTGAATTACTATTAGATCTGGCCCGCCGGTATATTGAACGCACACCTTCACTCCATCCTGAGGATTTCCTCAGCTCAGAGCCTGAGCCCAAACGTTGATGAACTTGCACCCGAGATGAGATGCCAAGTATCTGGCTTGTACTAGCAGCACAGAGCAGCACACTGAGTTTACATGGATGTTTCCTTTAGTACTTTTTTTCTTGCGACAACAGGGCATGTTTGGTTTTTTCTTTGAGGGAAATAGTTTTTTTGAAACTGTTGTTGGCCTGTGGAAAAAAGTAATCATAAGAAATGACTGCAGATAGAGCCATAAGAAATGAATGCAACTGATTATTTAGTGTTTAATGTTGTTTTTATAGGCAATAATTTAAGCTTTGTTAGTTCCAGGTTTAATATGTGCAATAAGTTCATTTCAATAAGTTTTGCAATAAGCATTGAACCAGTCCGGCCCTCAACTATTACCGATTTGTTTTTATTTTTGGCCCACTGTGTATTTGAGTTTGACAGCCCTGCTCTAGACTGAACTGCAGATTTAAAGTCATGAAAGTAAAAAACTCTGAAAGAATGCCATGAGCTTTTAGCCAGCAGTTCAATGTCTAAAGACATGCTGACCTCAGTGAGCTGGTACAAACCCACTGGACCAGACAAACCCTCAGGTTAGTGCGCTTTGAAGCATTCAAAAATATCCCTCAGCTATACAAGCCATACTGCCTTACATTACATTCATAAATATATATGTCCAAGTATGTATCTAAAGTTATCAACAAGTATCGTATCAAGTCCAAAGCCCATGAACTATGATAGTTAACTCACTCTACCCAAGGGCCCCTATTGTGAAATGACAGAACTGCATGGGCAACTTATTTTGTTAAAAATGCTCAATCAGTCATTAACGCACCCTGCTATGTTAAAAGTTTAATAAAAACAATCCCATCGCGAAACACTGTTTATTTTCATTGTGGATTAGAAAATGCTCTGCAGGCCACACAGTTGTAACCTGAGTGTTACTGATTTAAAGGTTGCATGATTTAATGAACTACTTAATTTAATTCTCTTTTTTTTTATGCTTTTCCAACTTTTCCTGATGTTTGCTGCTCTCATGTCCAGGATGCGTATTCAGAAGTGGCCAGCCTTTTTGCAGAGTTCTTCAGAGACCTGGACATTGTGCCTAGTGATATCATTGCTGGCCTGGTTCTTCTCCGCCAGAGGCAGAGGTCTAAGAGATCATCTATCCTGGACCAGGTATCGCTGTCAATACAACTATATTAATGTCTGTATTTTTGTGCTTGTAAAAATAATAACTTTCATACCCTTTTTTTTACCTCGCAAGGGCAACAATGACATTTTAGCATTCTTATCTGGAATGCCTGTCACTCGTAATACTCGATACCTGGACCTTAAGAACTCGGTGAGTTTCTATCTGAATAATACAATGAGAAAGTGAAGGTTGACTTTTGTGAAGTCTTGTTATACTTCAGGTTCTCAAATAAACACTGCCTCATACAAATACACAATGCATTTAAACACATCTTTAAAGGCTCTTCTGTCTTTTTTTTTTAAAGGAATTTACCTGCTTAAAAACATGTAAAAGATTGCAAAACAATGCACAAAGAGAGGGCTCCCTAGCTAACAAAGTTTTCACAAGAAAGGACACTAATTTTCACAAGAAAACTAGATATGTGTCTTAGCTATTAGCTTAATTTGTGTTCATTTCACACCAAACAAACAAAATAGTTGTACTCCTCAACTAATGGCACAAGTTGTTTTGATTGTTAACTGTCTTTAAAAACCTTAGCTTTCCTGCAGTACTGTATATTTCTATGCAATTATTGTGCATTTATGTCTGAATATCTCAGTATGTCCGTGATATTACTGCCATCCCTCTGTCGTTCTCATGTGTGTGTCCGTCTGCCCGCCTGTCTCTCCCTCTTGCAGGTCGAGATGAACATGTACAAGGATGTGTGTTACTACATGCTCTTCGCCCTGGCTGCATATGGTTGGCCCATGTACTTAATGAGGAAGCCTGTGTGCGGGCTGTGCCGCCTTGCCAGCTCCTGCCCGTAAGCTCTCAAACATTCACCCGCACAGTTTTGATCTATTTGGCTTCTATGTCCCTTGAGCCTCTTCAAAACGGAACCAATCTCACATGCGTCAACACTTGCCAAGTAGTAATCCACAGAGACAATGCCACTCTAGTTGGACTCGCTCACTGACACGAGCGGTGTCTAACATTCTCTTATCCATATGGCCTCCACTATGATACTAGATTACAACTCTGTAACCTCATCAGTTTACGACAATTTTCTTGTCACAAATACTGCTTTACAAAAAAAACGTTATCTGTCTTTTAGTATTTATGTGTTCTCCTGTTTTCTTCGTATCTTTGCTTCTCATACCAGCTGTATGTCAGTGTCCAGCTCGCGGATGACTCAGGCTGTGACAGTTGAGGAGGACAACTGTTGCGGCTGTAATGTCCTGGCCATACGGAGACACTTCCTGGACAGAGACCTCAAGCAGGTTCAGATTGTCTACACATCCTGCCACGATGCTGTGAGTAATCTGGCAGTTGGCTAAAGAGTAGTCAGAGATGTTGGGTTTCACTTCCTAAATTAGCCAAAGGATGTGTTGTGTGCAGGAATGTCTGCAGAACAGTGTCAGGATTTGTATTTCATTTTGTATTTGTCCAATTTGTTTTTGTTTTGATTTTAAAGCATACAACTTTTTTTGCAAAATACACTGTTTTGGTACGTTATGATACACCATGGTTAAGCTCTCCCGCGCACAAAGACAAAGCTCTGCATACAACGACTTTAATCTATAGTTTTGGCTATCATTTGAAAAGGTTTTGGAAACACTGAGATATGTGGAGCCTGTGTCCACCCCCCCGGCAGTAAGTCAAGTGTGTTCTCGGACAGGGTTGGACTCTGCAGAGGCTGTTTGTGATTGTCAGCGACAGATTCTTCAGGTGCAGCCAAATAGGGGTGACTGCCATCTTTGGTGGCCTAAGGATTGCATTTCTGCCCTCAACATGTACAGTATATCAGTCTTTTACCAGCATTGTCCAAAGCCAAGATAACGTTATACTGAGTTACATTCCATTTGTCAAATTATGATCCATGTTGAAATGATCCCTTCCTTGTTGAAGAGGGACCAAACATTTTTCATATACCTTTTCTATCTGAAATCCCGGTAAATGGGTTACAGTAGGTAATACCCACCAATATCAGTGACATGCAGTATTGGTAATAACAGATGCCTGCACATATCCTAAAGAATGATACCACACCGACTAATATATAAATTGGGGACATATGTGATGGGTATGTCATCCATGGTTGTTTCCTTGACCACCTTTGGGTACATTTGTATCTAGTAAAGCTGCTGCATCCCCATTCTAAAGGGATAGTTTAGTTTTTATCAAGTGGGGTTATATTAGACCCCTGGTTTGGAGAAGCAAACAGGAGTACCAGCCAGAGAGCAAAGCACTTTACTGCAGTGGACGGGGGCAGCAGCAAAATGTTTTTTAGCCATCTAAAAATGGCCCCTCTAAAGTATCTAGACCCAATTAATTATAGCTGGCTTGCCGGTTGCAAATACAAAAAAAAGTTTGTTGGCAATTATTAATAATAACATTTGAAAGCGTTTTTACCTCCGTTATATAAGTAAAGTAAACACAAACCAAATGTGTTTACTTAATATGAAAAGACCCATCACTTTCAAATCCAAATGGGCACTCATATTCCTACAGAAGTAGAAAAAAATTGTTGTTAAAATAGTTTCCTAATTTCATCGGACATTCAATTATCCAATTTAGTTTTATGTGGAATTTCCACAGCATTTACATTCGCACGTCATGCTCATGATGACGATTTCTAAAGCAGAACTTTGCTCAGTGAACTCTTAAGTTTCCATCTATAAATGTAATTGTGAAATGACTTATGAAGTGACTTATATGACTGTATGGTGCTGTGCCAAGTTAGGAAAGGTTTGATGACAGAGACTTGGGAAGGACTCTGTTTGCTGGGATGAAAGTGGAACGAGCTAGAATTGGTCTGTTCCTCTGACTGTGTCACCACAGTTTACTGTCCGCTCTGCATCTTCCTTACAGGTTTACGAAACACCGTTTTTTGTGGCAGTGGATCATGCGAAAAAGAAAGTTGTAATCAGTATCAGAGGAACCCTGTCTCCAAAGGTTAGTTTAAGCTTTCTTTTCTTGCTTTTACAATAATGTCTCTTCAACTATCTAAAAAGAAATAGTGCACTTGTTCCCTTTACAACAGCAACACCTCCAGAGCAGGTGGAATTCTCATAGTTAAATGCAGCGTTCTCAAACTCCTACACCTTTTTACGAAAAAAGCAGAAACGTGACTGACCACTTGTAGAACAAAATGTGTTTTGTGTTTGAGAATTCCTGTAGTGCTGTAAGAGCTGGACTCAACCTACAGGAAAGAGATTACTCACTGCCGCCTTGTAAAAAAGGCATAACATATTTTCAAGAGGAAAATTACTACTATTTCTGTTGATTTCTGACGATCTGCTCTCAACCATTCAAAACAGGTAGTGGCTGTACGCGTAGAAAACACAAATACAGTAGAATACAAAGATTAGTGAAGTGTTTGAAATGTGCTTTTGAATATATAAAACCTAATCTGTAGAGCTCAAGGCAAAATCACACCTGACAGATAATATCAAGATAAGAAACACTTGTGCTGTGGTTCTCCCCCCATTATAAGTAACACAGTAGCCAAAAAAATAACTTGACAAAGATGATTAAATTAAGGCTGACATAAAGGCATAAACTCATGCTTCATGGTCTTATAGGTCTTTCGACAGCTGCTCAGGTACACTTATTAAAGTATAACCAAAAAATAATCCAGTTTGAATCTTGTGGTGTTAGTAAGTCTTTTGTCTAATGTGCGCACTTTTGTAAGATTCTTTTTTAGTACCTCCACCTGTGTTCTCTGTTTCATGCCGTCTTTTTTAGAATTAATTTATCTTGTGTGTATCAGGACGCCTTGACGGATCTGACGGGGGATTCTGAGCGTTTGCCCGTAGAGGAGCAGCACGGGACCTGGCTTGGCCACAAGGTCAGACATTACTGTATTAAAATCACCTGCAATACATAACTTTAAACCATGAGATGTTTCCTCTTTAAGTATCTCTGTTCTCAATCTGTGCACTTCCAACACGTAACATCTTCCCAGAATCCTAAGGTCATTTGAGTTGTTAATCAAAATAACGGCTTGTTATGGCTCTTTTAGGGTGCGTTCACACCTGCCTTATAGTCCGGTCAATCGAACCCTGGTGCGTTTAGCCGCTTAGTTCGGTTCGTTTGGGTCGGTGTGAACGCAGAGACCTCTTAAGTGAACTAAACAACCGGATTCTGGTCCGCTAAAATAGGTGGTCTCGGAGCGCTTGCTTGCGAACTCTGGAGCGGTTCATTGCTGGTGTGAATGCAGTCTGCACCAAAACATAGGAAGCGTAGTATTTACGTGTCACAAGAACGCGGATGTCTTCAAAATCTTTACGAAGGAGTCTTTCAAGACATCCGCGGTTGTTTAGTTAAAGAGTGAAGCAGAATGAAGTGTTGAACAGTGTCGTGTAAAGTAAAAATTCTCCGTCAGCTACATAAAAGTAAGAACACCTGTCGTCGGTGAAACGCCCCTCCTGACTGCAGAACGTCTCTCATTATGTGTTATAATGTTTTTTAACGGACGTTGTCTGATTATATAATCATATGCACGGGCCGCTAGAGTCTGTTGATCTCCAGATTAACAGCAGCATGAGAATAACCTGCCGAAAGTGCCGATGCTCCATGGCGGAGGCTCCGGTAAAAATTGCCAGGATTTGCGTTTTTACCCCCTTAATGTCTGACCAATGGTTGAACAGCATTTCCGTGCACATGACTTGTGTTTAAAGTTTATAGTCTGTTTGAGTTTTGTGTGAACGCAAACCTCTGAAAACCGTCTCGATCTGAATTCTCTTCGCGAGAAGTGTCATATTGTGTGCTTTTTTACGTATGTTGGTGATTGGTTCAACAGCTGCAGGGGAGTGTTGTTTATTTGTGAGACTTTCTGTTGTGTTCGGTTTGTTAAAAACCAGTGTATGTTGTATAAACTGATATTTTGTGTTTGAGGTTAGAAATTATAATGTTTTTATTGTATTCGTCTTTGCGTAAAACGTTCGGTGAGACTCACTTGTGTAGTCTAGTTAGTTTAGAGTCGAAAAATCTTACTTACACGTGAAGTTATTGCCTTTTTATTACATAAATAAATTCTATTTTGGATTTTCTAGTAAACGTCTAGTACATTGTCTGTCCTTTGTGTCTTATGTCGAATTATTCAAAGTGAGTCCCCTGAAACACACGTCCACTATTGGGTGGGGTGTACTAGGGGGAACAAGCGGCCAGGAGGCAATAGTCTAACAGTTATAATTCATTCTGTTCTGTTTTGTATGATGTTTTTGTGGGGGATGTATGGTGTGTATATGTGATGAGGTAGGGTAGGACATCATATGCCTGTGAGTGTGGGGGTTTGGTCGTTTGGCTCGTGAGGAGTAGTTCTTAGTTTTGGTGCGCTCAGTAGGTGGGAGGTATAGAAGAGTGTGGGTGTAGCTGCGTTTTATTGGTGTGTTGGGAAGTTATTTCCATTTTGAGTTTGCTCCAGTGCTGTAGGTATTTTTGCTCGAGTGTTTAAGGCCCAGCTTGCTTTAGGACCTTTAGGTATGGATGGTGTGTACTCTCTCCGGGGTGGTGAGACATTGTCGAAATTAACTGGTTGAAGGCCTTTCGAGTTATAGCAGGTTTGTTTGGTTGTAGTCTTGATTTATTACTTTTCTTTTTTGTGAGTACATCGTGATAGAGACGAGGGGAGTCGTTATGTACTTTTGTGTCTAGGTTATTTTATTGAGTGCTAGTGTATATAGTGTATGTAATATGTAGTGAGAGAGTTGATTGTTTGTTTTGTGTAAGTGTAGTTTTCGTAGTTATTTGAGGTAGTCGAAGAAGTAGGAGATTATACAAAGAGATATAGATAGTCCAAATGAATTGGTTATGAGAGGTATTGTGATTAACTACTATGTATGGTTTTTTACTATCCGGGTAGGTATTGTATTGTGAAAATCAGATATATTAATAGATCAATGAGATTGTGTAAGTGAAACTATTAATGATGATTGTAGGCGCGGAGATGAGACGGAAAGGGACGAGTAGAGAGTGGCAGAATTTGATTACAGATAGATTTTTAGTCACGCAGTGTATGGCCGATATGATTAAGCTGGTAAGATGACGGGTCTTCGTAGATATGTGTGATGGAGGGTGTTATATTGGTCATGTAGTGAGATTTGTAAACTACTAGTTGAAAGGGAAGTTTTCGGGGTTGTAGGATTTGGGAAATGGATGGGGAGAGGAAAAGTAGAGAGGCATGTGAGATGGACTTGTTGATATCCGAGGACACAAGTGTAGAAGGGCTGCAGTGGGTTGGTGGTTTGGAGGACACGTGCGTTCTTGTCTGGTAGTAAACTAAATAATAAATTGTTTTTGGTCCCCGAGTATGAAACTGTGCTTGCACGTACATCTGCGCAGGATTTTGGTCCTTCATGTTGACGCATCCAATGAGGGAGCTGTGTTTTCGTTTACTAAAAGAGAGTAGTGGACACCAGACGAAAAGCCTGTTACTGGCGACCTTTATTAGCGCGAGCTTACCTTTGTTGTTAATTGATAAGCGATTTACTGTGGACGAGAATTTATTTCGAGATGGTGGGGTTGGTGCCTGATTAGGACAGTTTGTGATCAGGGTGGTTTTGTTGGATTGGGTATTTGGTGTTTTGTGGACGACTAAATATTAAAGAAGATTAGTATTCGAGATATAGCTATGTAATATTTTCGTTTTCGCAAAGTTCCGTGCCTAAAAGTCTCGGTTGAGGTAGTCTAGTTTGCGAACCGACTTGTGCAAGAGGAGGGAGAAGAAGAGTATTGAGGGACAATGACGAAGGAAAATTGTGTAGGAGCCACTGAAAGAAAATAAACTTCTAGAGCGCGAACGCTTGTGCCGAAGGGCGACATAATTTTTGTAAAGACCGTTACAACATAGCGCCACCGCGGGTATACAACAGAGTCATCATTTTTCTCGCGTCGGAGTGGTCCTCGACGAGCGCGACGCGAGGTGTCGTTGTGTCGCCGAAACGAGAGAGATGTGTTCTTGCTGTTGGCTAGTGTGCGATTATAAGCATAACGAATTAATTTGCTTTGTTAAAATTGGATTTTGAACGTTCAGTTAGTTTATGGATTATGTGTGCATGTCCCTGTTAGAAAAAGAAGAAAAAGTTTGGTGTAGTAGAGAAGTCAGCGGCTCAGAGCTTGTGCGTTCTACCTTTCATTGCAATACGACCGGCCCCACAGATGTTATCACGGAAGGGCCGGTCGCCGTAAATATTTTTTTTACTCGGCACAGCCATTTATTTCGTAGAAATGTTTTTGTTTGTGTTACCGTCCGTCAGAGATTGTGTGTTGTGTTATGTTTTTTTCTGTGTCGCGCGCGCGTTGTGCGCGCGGGGACGTCTTTCTCGGGTTTTCTAAATTTATGTTATGGGCGGTCTATGTCGGACAAGTGCGACGACGGTAGTCTTCTGGCTATGCTTCCTAGACAACAGAATGGTGGTCTGATGTTCCTTTGCGTAAAATTAATCCCATTTCTGAAGGAGTTTGCAGTAGGAAGATGGGCGGTATGTGTGGTTGTAGAATAGGTAACGGAAGGAGGAGCGAAAGAGCGAAAAGAAGAAGGATAAGCTCGGTGGTGGGGGTACCCTTTTATGGGACGTGTTGGGAGCAACATTGTTACAGTTAGCGTATAGAAGTTTAATAATATTAGACACCAGGAGGCGTGTCATTACATAGGTGAAACCTGTGGCGCGAGAACCGATCGAAAAGGTCATTGGTTGTTCACGCTGGGGTCGACATTATGGGCGGACACTGGATGGTCGTGAGCGGCGATACGGGTTGTGGAATATGTGACCTTAATAGCGGTGAAGTGAGCGGAACGCGTTTTGTCCGAAATTTTTGAATAAAGGTTACGATAGTTGGTCTTACTGACTAAAAAAACCTATCAGTTAACGTGAAGGATGTTTGTGAGGGCTAACCGAATGGATTGGTGTTCCGGGGGGTGGTCCACCTCTCATTCTCATCGGGGGGTCACGTCGAGCACCCTATGACTCCAGTAGTCGTCCTTTCCTCTCCTGATCGGTCGTACGGACGTGGTTCTCTCACGGGCTGATAGTGGTCGGGTATCACGTACCCACGGGAACAAGACTCTCTCTCTTGTCTCAGTGAAGTGAGTAATTTGGATGTCTCACAATTGGTAGTCGTTCTTGGCGTGCGCGTGGTTTTCCAAGTAATAGACGCGCCGGTAGAGAAAGTATCCCATATAATTCAGCACATGGTCAGAGAAGGTATCCGGAACCCTATTCTAGTAAAAGGACGAAGGTCAAAGAAGATTTACATAAGGACGACTCTTTTGCGAGCGGCGACTCTCCCTTTTGTCTTTCTTCCGTTCCTGAATTCACGCTACTCTCCGTACCTTTTTACTGTGTGTTAGACACTTGCTTTCAGAGGAGACGTTGTGTATATATAATTCGGCGCGAGCGAAGTGTGGATTATCGAGGGGCAAAAGACCACGCGTGCGTCTGTGTCAAACAATGGT